GCCATCTACAAGTTCTTCCAAACCGCCCCTCCCCTCCTCCGCCCCTCCCCTCCTCCGCCCCTCCCCTCCTCCGCCCCTCCCCTCCTCCGCCCTCCTCCTCCCTCCCCTCCCGCCTCTCTGCCTGCCAACCCCCCCCTCCTCCCCCCCCCTCCTCCCCCCTGGGGCAGGGCAAGTCGACCCTCCTCAACGCGCTCACGCGCGCGCGCGCCACCATCAACTCGTACCCCTTCACGACGCTGATGCCAAACCTCGGCGCCATGGTGCCGAGCGGCGGCGAGGGCGGGGGCGGCGGGGGCGGCGGCGCGCTCCTCGCCGACCTCCCTGGCCTGGTCGAGGGCGCCCACGCAGGCCGCGGGCTCGGCCGCCAGTTCCTGCAGCAGCTGCGCCGAGTGAAGGTCGTCCTGTTTGTCCTCGACACGACCTGCGCCGAGGTGGGCAGCCGTGCGCCGTCCTGCGGCGAGATGGCGCGAGATGACCCGAGATGGGCCGAGATTAGGTCGACGTCGGCGAGCAGTACGCCGTCCTGCGGCGAGAGCTGCAGCTCTACAACCCGGACTACCTCGCACGGCGCGCGGCACTTCTTCACAGCCGTCTCCCAGACGCTTGCCAGACGCCTCTCAGACGCCTCCTAGCTCGCAGCGTCTGGGCTGAAGCCGTCTTTGCTCACTCCCTTCCGGGTCGAGCCCTCTTCTTTCTCCCAACAGGCCGCACCTCGTCGCGCTCAACAAGCTCGACACCCTCCTGCAGGCCGAGGGCCCCGCCGCTCTCGCGCCGGAGACCCGCCGCCTGACGGCGCTCCTCGCGGCGGCGGCGCGCGCCTCAGCAGCGCCGGGCGACGGGCCGCCCACGTCCCCGTTTGCGGTGCTGCCCATCTCGGGCATGAAGGGCAAGGGTTTGCGTGCGCTGCAGGAGGCGATCGCCGCGGCGCTAGCAGATCACGACGCAGGCGCAGAGGGCGAGAGTGACCCGCCGCACCCGCAGTAGTTTCGACTGTAAGATGCCGTGCACAGTTTTCCGCCGGGGGGTCGACCCGCTGAGCGCTGTCTGGGCATCGGATACCATTATTTGTAAAACGCTTTGGCTCGCACCGGATTCGAGGTATACGCCCGAGGTATCCCGCGCCTCCGAGACCGACATGGAGACCGACCCCCCGACGCGCACTCGCGACGACGATGAAAAACGCCGCGCCTCCGCACGCTGACGCTCTCTCTCTCGTCTGCTGACGCTCTCTCTCTCCTGACTCCTCTCCGTAAGAGGCCGCCACACCGCACGCCCTGTGCGCGCAATCAGCCAAGGTGCCCGCAACACAAGATGAGAGTGGAGCACTCCGGCACCACCGCCCCGCTGCCCCCTGCGGCACCGCATCCTGCCGCCACTTCCAGCCTCTGCCGCTGCGGCGGCACCTCAGCTCTGGTGCGAGTGCACGAGGCCGGGCTTGAGCATCGCCTTCTCCCCGAAGAAGATGTGCATCGAGTACGAGAGCATCGTCGCCGTCGCCGCACCCGTCGACTTGTCCGACACCGCCGCCAGCAGCGCCTGCCACACGGTCAGCGGCACCGCGCGAACCGTCTGCGCCGAGGCGTAGTAGGCGGCGGTCGCCGTCGGCCCCATCCCAACCACCCGCTCCGGGCACGGCCGATGCGAGCGGCGTCCTTGCTGCACTAGCGGCCACAGCTTCGCGCAAAAGTCGTCTCGCATCGAGCGAGGCATGTCTGTCGGGTGCCTGCCCCACGCGCCAAAGTCCTTGGCCGCGACCAAGGCGCCGGACAGGCCGTCGGCGGCGAGCAGCGGCGAGGCGGCCGGCACGTTGGGCGGCACAAACACCACCACCGGCGGCAGCTTTGCGTAGTGGGCGGCAATGTGCCTGGATGGGGCGTGCGGGGCGGGGGGGGGTGGGGGGGGGGTGCCGGACTGCGGGGTGAAACCTTGGGGCGCTCTCTCTCTCTCTCTCTCTCTCTCTCTCTCTCTCTCTCTCTCTCTCTCTCTCTCTCTCTCTCTCTCTCTCTCTCTCTCTCTCTCTCTCTCTCTCTCTCTCGCTCTCTCTCTCTCGCTCTCGCTCTCTCTCTCGCTCTCGCTCTCTCTCTCGCTCGCGCTCTCTCGCGCTCTCTCTCGCTCTCTCTCTCTCTCTCTCGCTCTCTCTCTCGCTCGCTCTCTCTCGCGCTCTCTCTCGCTCTCTCTCTCGCTCTCTCTCGCGCTCTCTCTCTCCGACGGGAGGAGAGGGGGGCGGTGGGAGCGTGCGCGTGTGCGGGCGCACCGCAGCCACGCGGCGATCTGCGGCAGCGCGCTGTCGAACGGGATGCGGTCGAGGTGGTTGAGCCCCTCGCGCAGCATCTCTGGCATCGGCCGCTTGATCTCCGCCGCGCCGCAACCCTCGTACGAGTGGATGAGCCACTTGGTCGGCCGCGGCAGCGCCACCATGACCTTGCGCACCGCGTCCGTCCAGACGTCGTGCTCCTTGCACCGGTGAGCCACCCAGTCCCACTGCGGCAGCCGCTGCAGCCGGCGCGGAGGCTTCCCAAACGTGTGCTGGCGGCCAGCGTCCCGCGCGAGCGCGGCGGGGTCAAAGTCGAAGTCGTACTTTCGGTACTGGACGTTGACCTTGTTCGGCACGTTGAAGGTCGCCTCGCGGCCCGCGGCGCTGCCGCCAAAGAGCATCGAGTCCACCGCGTCGATCCCGAGGAAGCACGAGTGGTCCTGGTTGCCGACCTCGTACTTCCACGAGCCGAAGCGGCCGCGCGACCAGATGCCGAGGCTCCGCAGCGCGCGGTCCGCCTCGTGCACGTGCATGTTGCGCTCCACGTACGGCACCGGGTAGCCATACTCCAGCCGCTTGTCCCACATGGCCACGACCTTTGCGCCCTCGGGCAGCATCCCGGACTTGACCAGGCCCTCCTTGACGAGCGCGCGCAGCTTGGCGCGCGAGCGGGGGACGGGGTGGTGCTTCGACTCGGACACCTCGATGAGCAGCGACCACTGCTGGAAGGGCTTCGCCACCATCTGCGGCGAGAAGTTGGAGAGCACCTGCTCGCGGCGTACGGCGTCAAGGCCAGCGCCCCTCCCCAGCCGGCAGGGCGGGCGGGCGGGGGGGGGGGGCGAAGGGGACCGTGACGCGGTAAAAGATGTACTCGTCCTCCGGGAAGTAGACCCAGTGCACGCCGTTGAGCGCCTCCGGGATCTGGTCCCCCTCGATGCCCACGCCAAACACGTTGCACGTCTGGTGCTTGAAGCGCGAGTGGTCGGCGGCGCCGTTGTCGCCGTCCGCCATCGGCGCGAGGTGCGGCTCATCGGGCAGCGAGCGGAGCAGCAGCGGCAGCGGCATCGTCGACAGCAGGCCGTCGAACGGCACCTGCGGCGTTCGGGTCCGGAGGCGGCGTCTTGTGCCGGGCTGCGCCTGGGGGGGAGGCGAGGCGAGGGGGGGGGAGGGGAGGGGAGGGGAGGGGGCGGGTGCCTTTGTCCCGTCGGCGAGCTCGAGCGCCTTCGCGCCCTTCTTGGTGCGCACCGCGGCGACGCGCGCGTTGAGGCGCGTGTTCTCCTTTGGCAGCTCCGAGAAGATCTTTTCCCAGATGTGGCCCGTCCCATTCATCGGGTAGCGGAACTGCGCGTTCGGCCCCCACGCGGGCGCGTCCTTGCGCTGGATGACGTTGGAGAGGATGTCCTCGAACCGGATCGTCGCGACGCGCTCCCCCACCCAGATGGAGTTCATCTCGTGCGGCGGGTGCGCCCACACCTTGGGAGGTGTCAACGGGCGACGCGAGTCCTCACTGAGCACTGTGACTTCAGCCATGTGCACTACTGCTCCGCACCTTGGAGTTGTACGGCGCCATGAAGGACTGCGTGAGCGCCTCGCCAAAGCCGGCGTGCAGCCACTCCTACGGCAAGGCGCTCCGGGACGGTTGGCGTGGAGCAGCCTGCCTCCTGCCCAGCGCCGGCGAGCAGCCGCTCCTTGAAGTTGCGCGGCTTGGGCGGCGGAGGGCGCGCCTCCTTTTGGGCGAGGTCCTTGACGATGCCCATCACCTCGTCGCGCGGCAGCCGCCAGAGGTTGGCTTGCACCGGGTAGCCGACCCATGTGTCTCGCATCCGCGCCGGCGAGTAGCGCTGGTGGTAGAGCCACTCCTGGGGCGGGAGCATCTCGAGATTGCCCGAGATTATCCGAGATTGCCCGAGATTTCCCGAGATTGCCCGAGATTACAGCCACTCCTTGGGCGGGAGCATCTCGAGATTGCCCGAGATTGCCCGAGATTGCCCGAGAATGCCCGAGATTACAGCCACTCCTTGGGCGGGAGCATCTCGAGATTGCCCGAGATTGCCCGAGATTTCCCGAGATTGCCCGAGATTACAGCCACTCCTTGGGCGGGAGCATCTCGTCGAGCAGCGCGTCGAAAAACTCAAAGTGGGAGAAGAGGCAGTGGACGCCTGTCGTTGGGAGTCTCGTGACCGCGAGTCGGGAGGAGGAGGACTCTCATTGTGACTCGGCAGCGGGCGCCGATGTCCCACGAGAAGCGGTTCTCGTCGCGGATGGTGCACGCGAGCCCCGACGCCTTCTCGGACGCCTCGACCAGCTCCCAGTTGGTGTAGCCGAGCTCGGTTAGCCGGTAGGCGGCGCACAGCCCAGTCGGGCCGGCGCCGATGATTGCGATCCGCGGGTTGTCGCCGAGCTTCGGCGCGTCGTCGCTATCCTCGGTGAAGGCGGGCCCGGAGTGCTCGAGCGGGTCCACCGAAGGCGACGGGTGGGCCGGGTCGTAGTGCTTGAGCCTGAGGGGTGCACCAGAGCCAGGTTAGACTCGTGACTCGTGCCAGCTGACGCTGCCCGCCGGGTCGCGTCGCTCGAGCCTCCAGTCCCAGCCGTGCCGCACCATCGCCTACGGGAGAGAGGGCCGCGGGAGGTGCGCGGACGCCTCTCGCGAGCGGCGCGCCTCTCTGGCCGCCGCCTCGATGTCGGCGTAGCGCGGCTCCCAGCCGATCTCCGCCTTTATCTTTGCGGGGTCCGAGTAGAGGGCGGGCGGGTCGCCGGGCCGCTCCTGGGAGAGGGTGAAGGGGAGCGGCCGCCCGGTCACGCGCTCGACCACCTTGATGATCTCGAGCACCGTGTACGGCATCCCGTTCCCGACGTTGTAGTAGAGCAGGCTGTTCCCGCGCAGCGCCGCCATCAGCTTGACGTGCGCGTCGACCAGGTCGGTGACGTGGATGTAGTCGCGCGCGGCGGAGCCGTCCTTGGTCGGGTACGACGAGCCCATCACGCGCAGCTCGGGCCGCAGCCCGAGGACGACGTCGTACGCCGCGTCCACGATCCGCGGGTACAGCTTGTTGGCCTCGTGCCGCAGGTGCGGCCCGATCCGGCCGCGCGGGTCCGCACCGACGACGTTGAAGTAGCGGAGGAGCGCCGCGGAGAAGGCGACGCCCTCGCGCTTGCGCGCCTTGACGTACGCGATGATCGCCTGCTCGGCCTGCAGCTTCGCCGCGCCTACAGCCAGCCGCCGCACCGCTCCTCTCGAGCCGCTCGCAAGCGTCGCCCGCTCGGCCAGCGCGGGCGCGGTCGCCGTACGGGTTGGTTGGGCGCTGCGGCGTCTGCTCGGTGATCGGAAACTGGGTGGGCGAGCCTGCGGGGGGGGTGGAGGTGGGGGTGGCGGCTGGGCAGTGGCCGGGGGGAGGGCGGGGCATGAAGACGGCGCGCTCTCGGCGCGACGGAAGCGGTTCCATCTCGGCGTTGCGGCATCTGCGGCGCACCAAATGTGGCGCACGAGGAGGAGAAGATGAGCTTGCTGACTCCGGCGGAGCCCATCGCGCGGAGCAGGGCGACGGTCGAGACCGTGATGTTCTGGAAGTAGTCCTCCGGCCGAACCATCGACTCGCCCACGTACGCGTTGCCCGAGAAGTGCACCACCAACTCGACGGCTCGCTCGCGCAGCAGCGCCGCCATCTCAAACTGGCGGGCGACGTCGAGCTGCGCGAAGTGGAGCGGCTGCCCCGCCGCCTTGGCGAGCTCCTGCAGCCGCAGGATCGTGTGGATCGAGCCGCGCGACAGGTCGTCCACCACCGTTACGTTGAAGCCGCCGCTGTCGACCAGCATCAGCGCAAAGTGCGAGGCGATGAAGCCGGCGCCGCCGGTGACGAGCACGTTGGTCACCCGCCCGTCGCGCGGCTGGACCACGTGCCCCGGGTCCGTCGACGGGAACCCTCCGCACGTGGTCTCCTGCGGCGCGCCAAGCATGCCGGCCGCGCTGCCGCCATGAGTGAAGATGAGCGCGGCGGCAAGGCCGAGCATGACGCCGACAAACACCCACGGCCAGCGATCAGCCGGCTTGGCAGCGCGCGCGGAGCCAGTGAGCGGCTCCTCTTCCCCATCGAGGGCCATCGCCGGAGTTGTGTGTACGCCTGCTGGCGGCTCGCCGCCGGTCTCCTGCCTGAGGTGTTCCGAGGGTAACTCCAACGCCCCCCGTGGGTCCCCGTCTCGAGGTTGTCTTGGTCTGTTGTTGGCAAAGCAACGTTATGGAGGTGATTTCCTTTGGCCGCTCGTCTTTTCTCACACAAACGCTAAAAAAGATCGCTCCCATCGCAAACCCTGTCAGCAGTTCACCCTCGGGAAGAAGAGATTCTTCTACCCCCACGACTCGGAACGCGAATGTGACAGGACCATCGGGTCCTTCAGCCTCCAAAGCGGGATCACCCGAGAGCAGCTGAGCCTGCCTCTGGCCTCGCCTCCCTCTCCTCCAGGCATTCGTGGCATCCTGTGGGTCGTCCAGGAGTATCGACCTCTGGCTTGTCAGTCGCGGTCACTTGATGACCCCCATGAAGTACAGCGATCGCCATCTCGCTGGCCTCTCCGCAGGCCCCCCCGACCGCGTCGAACTCATCGGCGCGGGCTCTCTCGGCTACGGGACCGGCCCCAGCTTCGGCTGAGGGCTAACAAGCTGCCGAGCCCAAATCACTGTGAGTGAGAGTCGTGATTTCTTGTTGGTTAAAAAAATCTCTCTCTCCCTCGGGTATGTTCGTATAAGAGCCACATACACTGAAAAAACACAAAGACACACCTCGGACCCAAGATCGCAGACAGACAGCGAGGACAACGTGGGTCCCAGGCTCCCACCCAGCATGCAGGAAGGAGGGCGACCAGGCGACCTGAAGCCCTCTATCTATAGTCGAGGCATGTGAGCTCCAGGTACTAGCTCCAACGTCCTTCTCTCACTCACTCAGTCAGTTCGAACTTGCCCTCAAAAAAATACAGACCGCCCGACAAAACCCAGTTCGGACGGTGGGACGGACGTTTTTAGTGAGTGTCGCATGCGTTTCAGCGACCCGCAGCTGATAGACATACGTGTATGAGCACCGGGCTGCTCGCTCCATCGGCCGACGTTGCCATCGCGCACGCGCGCTGCCGTAGAGTCCTCGCGGTGTACATGCTTGCCCCCGAGCACCTGTCGCTGCTGGACGCAGTCACGACGGAGGCGAGCGAGACCGGCGACGGAGTTGAATTTGCCTGGGACGCGGCGCGGGTGCGTGCTCTGGGCTTGGTCTCCACCTGGCACCCGCCGCCCCGTCCGCCGCTGGTCCATCCCACCGAGACCCAGCCCGCGCCGGGCGGCGTCCATGCGAAGCGCGCCCTCGCCGAAGCGGGCAAGCGGTGCTCTGATGATCGCAGAGCGGTCCTCCTCCGGCTCGGGGCTCCTGTTCGCCCCGCCACGCAATCCAGTAGCTCTACCGACCGTGCGTGCGACGCGGCATCCGGGATGCCGAAGGCCATTCGGCGATCCACCAGTCGGCGCGCCGCCGCCCTGACGAGCCGGGGTTTCTCCAACCTCGCTGCCCGGCCACCCAGAGATGTGGACACGCAGTCAGTCCCGCTCGACTCACTGGACATCTCGCTCGCTCGCATGCGAGGCGAGGCGTTCCTCGCCACCGCTGCCGAGACACTCCCCGTGGTGCTGCATAAGTGCGAATGCGGGGAGGAGGGGGATGTTCGGCCGCCCACCCCGAGCTCGTCCGAGTTTCTCGACATTGCGACGCCGTGCGTGCTCCACGCCACGCCGCATTCGGCGGCGGCGCGCACCGGTCCGGCTGACGGCGCGGCGGCGAAGAGGACGGTGTCAGGGCCGAATGCGGAGAGCGGAGAGGAGTTGATCGACGCCGCGTCCAGCCTGCACAACCTCAGTTGCGAGGCCCTTCCCTCGACGCACGACCTGCCGAGCCAAGGCAACTGGATTCGACTGGCGGCGGCGCAGCAGGCGGTGGGGACCCAGCCAGCCCGGGCCGCTATTAAGCCGACGGCGCGTACGACCTTCGGCACGGAGGCCCGCCTCTCCTCAGCATCGCGGCGGTGGAGCCATCAGACGGCGCTCCCGTTCACACGGCGCCTGCCCGCCCGGGAAGAAGCGAGGCAAGAGGACGCGCCTGTCGCGGGCTCGTTCCTGCCGCTCCGCCTTGCCACCCGAAGCGAGGTCCATGCCCCCCAACCTGGCCGGTGCGCTTCCGCTAGCTAGCTATAGCAGCCGGGGTGCGGTATAGCCGATTAGCCATTATGTAAGATGTACCCACGTGCACTGTATGAGATTATGAGAGTACTCTATGTGCTCCCGTTCGTCTCTCTATTGCGTTGCGTCGTATCTCGCCGCGCTCTCGAGCGGGTCGCGTTCGACTGCGCGGCCCGCAGTCCCGTGCTCCGTGGTGTGGAGACGCCGCCAATGGCAATGCCGGCGGCTGCCACGCCGAGCCGGCACGAGCCGCGCCGCGGCCCGCGCGAGCCGCGCGATCGACTTAGGGCTCTCTCTGCACTCACCACTCTGGCCCCGCCATCCCGCCAAACCCCAAACGGCGCGCGCGAAAAAGTCGTTCACACACAGCATACACGCCTGCCTCGCCAACCGCGCCGTAGTTTCTTTACGGCAAACGAAGGGGTGCATTACGTGTACTCCGCGCACCTTGCTTTTGTACAGCACGCGCCAGGCACGCGCGCCGCGCACCGATAGGTTCCAGAGCGCGCGTGCTGGCCACCCACTGCACAGCCCGCGCCCACGAATCGAGTTCAACCCACAATATTGGTATCCGGACCTCTCACAGGCGCTCCTGCGCCCGGCGCGAGCGGCGCGCCCGCGCGGCGCGCATCAACGCCTCCTTCTTCTTGCGGATCTTCTTGTCGTGGTTGTTCTCAAAGGTTTTGCGGTTGCGGAGGATGCGCAAGTGGCCAACCTGCGGGGAGGCGGCAGGGCGGCGCGTGTGTCACCCCGTCTCGAGGGCGCGGCTGCGCGGACGAGAAGCCCCGCAGGCCAGGCGGAAGGCGGATGCGGAGGGCCGGAGGCGGGCGCCAACCTGGTTCGTGGCGCGCTTGAAGCGGACGATGGCCTAGGGAGGATGGAGAGGGAGGTGACGGGGCGGGCTGGGTCGGACGAGGGTGCGGGGGAATGGGAACGTCTGGGGCTGCGTTGATCAGACGTGTAGCTTGTGAGTGAGCCCCGCTCGCCACTGGGAGCCAGAGATGGCGTAATCCCCCGGGCGGAAGGCCTAATGTCGGCCGACAGCCATCCGCCCGGGCCCTCAGGAGGGGGCAATCGTCCTCATCTCATTGGCACAGCAGGCGCGGGAGCCAGCGGGGGCGGGACGAGCGAGGCGCCCCCGGGCGCGCGCGCGCCTTCTCGAGCGGCTCGCCCTGCTCCACCTCAATCTCGATGCGGGTGACCGCCTCCTTCATGAGGGGCGCGGCCGTTCGCGGCGGCGCCACGGCGCGCGACACCGGCGCGAGCAGCGCCGAGGCGGAGGCCAGGCCGAGAAGAAGCAGCGCCCAGAAGAAGCGCACGGCCAGCATCTCCAGGCTAACCTCGTCCTAGGCCTGCGTCATTTTCTTTTCCTTCTCAACTACACTCGTTCGTGTCGTCATCATCTGTCCAGCGTCCACCCATACCGCGTTGGTGTCCAGTCCGAGCCTGGCTGTTCTTCACCTTTCTACCTACCTACCTACCTACACTACCGAAGACACCCATCTGTGCATTCCTGTTTTCCGTCTTGACTCTCGAAATTTCTTTTCCATCCGGTCGAGAGGGACGCCTCATTCAGGCACGCTGGTTAGCTGGTGGCCCCTCGGCCCGCGGGGTCCCCCCGCGTGTACGAAAAAATGCGACCCGGGGATAGTGTTTTGGCATCACTCGCTCGGCCTCCTCGTACATGGCGGCGGTGTGAACCTCTTCTGTTGCCTTGGCCAGTGTAATCCGTCCGCCCGACTCCTCGATCTTGCGCAGGTAGACGACGTCACGACGAGCAGGACGACCGCAAATTGCCAGGTGCGATCCCGACGGAGCACAGAGTCGTGCACGACGAGGTAGATGAACTCGCACAGCGGGATGGCCGGGATAGAGACGGCGATGGCCAACATGACAAACAGGTTCAGACACGCCGCAAACTCCGCCTCCGTCTTGACAATAGGCAATGGTAGCCTTGGTGCCGCCTCCCTTTCCGGTCACGGTGGTGACGTCTGCGCGATCGCAGCTCTCACCCCGACTGATGAACGTGGAGACATTCGCCCAGAGCAGCGACATGGAACCGGTGACGCTCGTCCCCTCTGGTCCACTGAGGCCGTCAGACTCGGTCGCTGAAGTGACATATTTGAAGCCCCCTTTCAGGTAGTCCGTCCACTTTTCTTTCTCCCTCTCGAGCAGCGCCTTTGCGGCGTCGTCCCCCGCCGTGTCGATCGCCTGGTCAATCTCTTCGATCACTTGCTGGATCTGTGTCGCCGCGTCAATCTGGGAGATTCTCCCAGTTTGCATTGCCGCCGTCACCTCGGATGGTTTTGTGGTCCGCTTGATCTCGAAAGTCGTGCCCTTCTCGGGTTGGCGGTGCAGGGCTACAAAGCGCTGCAGCATTCCCCCTCCCAGGACCCGCAGGAACCGTGGTCGGAGCAGGTTCGCGATGGTCATGGTGCTCACCGCCGCCGTGCCGAGGAGCACTTTCGCGTTGTTAGCCACGACAGTGGCGGCGGGGCAAGTCTGGGAGGTGTCGTAGTCGCACGACGCGAGGTTGCCGCCGCACGTCGGGCACACAGCATCTGCTGCTGGCAACCAGGAACGTGAGGAAGAACAAGAGGCTCCCGATAAATGCCCGGCGCGATTGGCCCACATGCCGTGGGATGAGCAGGGACAGGTAGTCGCTGCCCCTGGTGGTCGAGGGTCGCGATCCCCCCTTCTTGTCGCCCGTGGTGTGGTGCTCACCCCCACCTGTCAGCAACAGAACGTAGGCCGTGGTCACAATGAGCGCGGGCAGGACGAACTCGAGAATCGCCCTGGGGTACTTGGAGGGGCTGGTGGCGGTGAGAGCTGCGCTCATGACGCAGCCGGAGGCCCCGCCAACCGTAATGGGTAGGCTGAGTTGGTCTGACTCCATGGTGAGGTTGTTGCCAACTAGCCCCGGATAGCCTTGCATCAACACGAGGCAAAGGGCACCGACTGCGGGCAACGAGGCAAAGCCTTGGCCCCACGAAGGCCAGCCCATGTCCCAGACCATAGCTCCCGCGTTCCCGTCGGGCTCCAAAGCAGGCATAGCACAAGCCGCCGCCAGGCGCGCTTGCGAAACACCGACGGCAAACGAACGTAAATTCGTAGGCGCCCGACGGAATTAATCCCGATTAGGCGCCCGCGACACACTGAATACCCCGGGCGGCCTCCGCTCCGGGGCTGCTCTATCTCCATTGTCTGCACGCAACCATGGTAATGCCCTTCACACCCCCAGCCCTCGTGTCACCGTTGTCCAACACCTTTAGCTAGATTGAAATCTTTTCGCGTGAAGAGGTTGGTGAACGGCTCCTCAGAGAGCTCCGAGCGCGCCGCCGGCCCGAGCCTCGCTCAGGAGGCTTATCTGCCGCCCACACTGGAGGCGGGTGAAGAGCGTGATGCCGAGAGCGACGCCGACTCTGTCGACAGCTGTCGACCTTTCGTGCCACAGTCCGCGCAACAGCGGCGACACCGGACCGCCGCCACCGATCGACGAGCTGTCGACCTTCAACGCCGAGGCGGACGCGCACAACGCCTCGGCGCCCAAGGGCATGACGGTGGCGCGGCCCGACGTCGAGGTCAGCTACACGGTCACACAGCTCGGCGAGGCGCGCGGACAGCTCACCAACCTCTCGGCCGAGCCCGTCCCCGAGGCCGTCCTCGTCGCCTTCAACGCCGAGGCGGACGCGCACAACGCCTCGGCGCCCAAGGGCATGACGGTGGCGCGGCCCGACGTCGAGGTCAGCTACACGGTCACACAGCTCGGCGAGGCGCGCGGACAGCTCACCAACCTCTCGGCCGAGCCCGTCCCCGAGGCCGTCCTCGTCGCCTTCAACGCCGAGGCGGACGCGTACAACGCCTCGGCGCCCAAGGGCATGACAGGTGCTCGCTGCATGGCATCACGGTGAACGGCGTGCAGGTGCCGGGTCGACCGCGGCGACCGGCCTACGGCCCCAAGCCAGCGCCGACCGTCGTCCCGGAGGGCGCCGTGGTCGAGTTGAATTCGGAGGGCTCCTGCAGCCCTCAGCCGCGGCGCCCAGTTTATCTTCTTTCGTTGTGCCTCGTATGCTCGAAACAAACGCAAGGCAGACGCGACACACACAGCCTGTTATTGTGTTGAATATTATTGAGAAGAAATACACACTCTTGAGCCCTGGCCTCGCCGACACGCGACACCTCGACACCAAACCCTAGACCAAACCTCGACACCGACTCGACACCTCGACACCCCATGCCAACTCGACACCCTCGACACCCCTCGACACCCCTCGACACCATCTAGGCTGGGACCATGCTCGTCCGTGTCAAGGACAAGGTGCCAAACTCGACACCTCGACACCACCTCGACACCACCTCGACACCACCTCGACACCGCTCGACACCGCTCGACACCACCTCGACACCTCTGATGATCCTAACACAGCAAGGTTGGGAGACTCCCAACTATCTGATGATCCTAACACTAGAAGACACAGCGAGGCTGGCCTTCTGGAGGGCCCCCTTCCGCCGGACCGTTTTCCCTCTTTCCCACTCCTTCCGCTAGTCTCTTTTTCTTTTCCTTCTCCGGGCCCCTACCGTAGACACCCCATCTGTACGATTCCAGTACTATGTCTTCAAATTCCGCATCAAATTCTTTTCCATCCGGTCGAGAGGGACGCCTCATTCAGGCACGCCTTCCTGCCGCTCGTGCTGCACCGCTCTCCGGCTCAATTCGCCGCTGTCTTTTTCTAGTCTTCGCCGCTCCTTCGCTGTGAAGCCAGCAGCTCTGCCAGCGCGTTCGCTCACGGCTGCTGCCGCCTCTGGGGGGGCGCGGGGCCCCCCGGAGGCACCGTGCGCCGCGCAGCAGTGCGGAAACGGGGCTCCGGCTCTACTAGTCTCTACTAGTACCGACTTCCCGAATGATCACGGTTGATCAGAGGGCAGATTTGGAGAGATCTCGAGGAGTACATACAGATAGACCCTCCAACCATCAGAAAACTCCGACCTGATCGGTCGTACTGACCGCCGACAGATCACTCCAGACAGCAGACAGGCCGACGTCTGTACGCGGCCGGCCGGGCGAGAGGCTTGACACGATCCGACCCTGCGAGACCCTGACGCTGCCGCTCTAGCTATCAGACATGCACTGCTGACTGCTGCCACAATGTGCGACCGGTGCTGGCCCACTTGGCGGCCTTCCCGGTCAGTGGTGAGGCGCAGTTCAGAGCTGTCGATGGCGCGATGCCGAACTGGTCCCACATTGGTAACACGAGACCACCAAGTTTGCCGGTCCAAGAGATAGGCACCGCCCTGTCCTGAGAAGTGCGTGGTCCCTCTTGACTGCCCATGCGCGCGAGGCTGTGTAGGCATAGCCTTGAGAGTGCCAGCAGCCAATCTGAGGCAGTTTGACGCGCATTGCGTCAGAAGCTGCACGCAGCTGGAAGGACACCTTCCTACTGGCCGTACGATCAGGTCGTCACTGAATGCTGGATACTAAGGCCGCGAGCTATGCAGGTGATCAATTGTGCAGCATGGCACGGTCAGCAGCGCCGACAGGCTGTCGCAAGGCGTGATAGCATGGCCGCAAGTACGCTGAATTCCCATGAAAACAAGGGGAAAATCGCAAAAAAAGAAAAAATCCCGAAATCGGCGCCTGCGGGCCATGGGACCCCATCGCCCCCCCGCATGGATACCCTCTAGGCCCCCCGCGCCCCCCCAGAGGCTGCGGCAGAGTAATGGAAATCTCTGCGCAAGAACGGAGCACGTACGACTTCTTTTTATCGTTCAACAGCTAGCTAGAAAAGGAGAGCGACTTTCCGGAAAAGACCGGGCTCGCGAGCGAGGCGGATATGGCGAGGAGCGCCATCGGAACTTTGGTTATCTTTTTCTTTTTAAAGCAGTGTTGCAACCACGGTCCATCGACCGGTGACTCTGGCTGCTGCGTGTACCTCCAGCCGCGGGCAGCGGCCGTCCTGCCACAGAAAACGCGGATAAAAAAGGGACGACTTCCCGGAAATTTCTTGCATCGTAGAGAGAGGGTCCCATAGGGCACAGCTCGCGTGACTCGGGGCCCTTACGCGCTATTGGTCACCAGCCGCCAGTACTGCCTCGCGTCGCCCGGCATCGCCGGCCAGATCTCGCGCCACACGTGGTTCTTCATTCATGTGTCGCCCTCCCCAAATCTCGAGGCCTCTCTCTTTGCTTGGCCTCCCCGGATCTCGCGCCACACGTGGTTCTTCATGTGTCGCCCTCCCCAAATCTCGAGGCCTCTCTCTTTGCTTGGCCTCCCCGGATTCACTCCCATTGCACCTTCTGTGAGGGCTCCGAGGAGAGTCATTTTCGCGCGCCTCCACAGTGGTACGTGCTCCACCTATGCACGCGGTGCGCGCCCTACCTATGCACGCCTCACGCGCCCGCCCTGCCCTATCCACCCGCCCGCCCCGCCCTGCCCTATCCACCGTCACGACATGACACTGCTGCGAACCCGGGGATTGGAACCCGGCGATTCCACAGTTGAACGTCCACCACTGCGCACCCTGCCTCCAATTGCGCGCCGCGCCATCCCCCCCGCCGTCGACCTCATACCAGGTGGGACCCCTCTGCCGTAGGTCGCGTGATGCAGCACAACGAGCTGCGCATGATGTGTCAGAACGGTGCGCCCCTCCCCCACCCCCAGCCGCGAGCTCCCCGCCTTCTCCTCTCGCTCCAGCTGTCTCCCGCGCCACACACCGCCAGCGCGCGCGAGGATCGTCTTAGGGAAGGTCCGCACCTCCCTCACATGGCGCCTTGCCGTAACAACTGGCATATGGTGTGCGTGCGCACGACCGCGGACAAGATTGCTCGCGCCCGCCGCCTCCAAGCCCACACACTTCCCAGAAAGCCCGTTTTCCGCCGTCACCGTTAGCCTCCCTCTGTGTTGCAGGTCGATCAGGGCATTCCCGCTCCCTTCCCATGCGGAGTGCATCCCGGTCGACGAGCTCCTCGCGCGTGTGTCCAGTGTCTAAGCAGTGTAGGCGACCGCTGGTGCGCGCCCCACCTATGCACGCCTCACGCGCCCGCCCTGCCCTATCCACCCGCCCGCCCCGCCCTGCCCTATCCACCGTCACGACATGACACTGCTGCGAACCCGGGGATTGGAACCCGGCGATTCCACAGTTGAACGTCCACCACCGCGCACCCTGCCTCCAATTGCGCGCCGCGCCATCCCCCCCGCCGTCGACCTCATACCAGGTGGGACCTCTCTGCCGTAGGTCGCGTGATGCAGCACAACGAGCTGCGCGGCTCCTCGCTCGTGATTCAAGCGCGGACGTCGCGCTCTCGCCTCTGCCGAGACCCACTAGCTGCTTCACCGCTCTCTTCCCTCTCTCGTACCTCTCCCCGCACTCTTCCCATCAGCGTGACGCCGCGGCGTCGCCACCTCACCGCCCTCACAGCGTGCAAATGCGTCCATGACGCACCGCCTACTGCCGCCGCCGAGACTCGACGCTAGCGCCCCCGGCGGGATCCACTTGCCCGGAGTATATTTCCGTGACCACAAACACGCAGTACACCAGCGCTGTCCGGGCGCGCTTTCCGACGGGTGTGCGTACGTTTTCCCCTACCTTCGTCAACTGTCCGTCCGTCAGTGACGTGTGGGCGAGTAGCAAGCATGTCCTGAGCCTTGCACGGCTTTTTTTGTCGAGCTCTCTCTCGCGCTCAAGGGGGTTTTCCACCGTGCACCGAGCACGCAATAAAAACGGACACCTGTCACCTCTCTACTGTGAGCATGCAGCCGAGAGTCGAGAGATAAAATCTCCCCAAGAGACTAAAGAGAGTCAGGCCGCCCGGAAGAGAGTCAGCTGTCAGGTCAGGCCGCGCACAGCGCGAACTCCTCGCCGTACTGAGCCCAGCGCAGCGCGAACTCGCCGTCTGAGCCTAGCGGCAGCGCGAACTCGCTCCTGTTCATAGCTGCGCAACCCTAGTTGAGCTCCATTTTCTTTTCCTTCTCCGGGCCCCTACCGTAGACATCTGTGCATTCCTAGAAAGAAAGAAAGAAAACACACAACCCAAGGGAGGGATGGCATTCCTGTTTTCCGTCTTGACGCCGCAATTTCTTTTCCATCCGGTCGAGAGGGACGCCTCATTCAGGCACGCTGGTTAGCTCGTGCTGCACCGCTCTCCGGCTCAATTCGCCGCTGCGCAGAAATCCCACAAGCACCCGGCACTCGATGGACGCAAGGTTAGCTCCATGCGCATCACAAATCTTATGAACGGTCGACCCATCTGGCATCAGAGCCACAATCGTGCACATTTTGACGGGGACGCTTAAGCCCGCCTGCAGATCCCTGCTGCGCGCACGCTCGAGCGCGTCGGGCGGTTGGATGCGCGATGACTCCATAATAACGTCGCCCTTCTCCCGTCGGCTCAGGTCGCGAAACCACTCGCGGACACCGGTCTCGAAATCTGCGGAATCGCAGAGCGAGCATGGCGTTGAGTCTGAAGGTGCCAGCAGCCCCGCGGCAAAATCCACGGCGCGTACGCTGCTGACGGTTCTCGCGCGTGTTTGCAGTGTGCGCTGTGTGCGCTGGCGAGACGAGTGTGGCCGCAGCTGCTCGCAGTTGGCCTTCGCTGGAGTGCTGCTACCACCACTGTGCAGAACTCGTGAACAATGAGGAGCGGCTTGCACTGGCCGACATGAAGGAGAAGGCCGCGGAGCGGAGGAAAACCAACCCTGCTCTCACGGAGGTTGGCGCGGTGATGCAGCTGCTCGGCGAGGCGCAGGATCCGGCCATTCAGTCGATACGGCCCTGCTTCTCCGCCCACTCCGACGCGGTGCTGCTCAACGCGGAGGTCGCCGACCGCATCCCCCTGTCCAGTCTGGTTGTGCCGTGGAACAAGCTTGTGCGCAACCCGGTGCCCGAAGTGCCGCCCATCGACCTCAATCCCAACCTCGCTCGTGTCGAGGATCGACTCGAGTCCGTCAACGCGCAGTTTGTCGCCTCCGACCCACGCCTCGGCAAGGCCAACTTCCAGGTGTCGGTGTACGAGGCGGACGGCAGCGTTGTCGTCGGCGCCTCGCAGGAGCAGGTGGCCGCTGCGATCGCGCGGGGTGCGGTGCTCGTCGTCCTCGAGGGCGAGTGCTGCCGCGACCGGGTCGGCGATCGGGCCCTTTCGCTTCCGTTCTACGCGAAGCTGAACGGCGAGGCGTCGACGCAGACCGCTTTCTACGCGGATTTGCTTCTCCCAAAGTCGTACGAGGGCCGGCTCGCGGTCGTCGTGCACGTGAACGCCAACGTCACAAACTGCCGCTGCTGCTTCGAGGCCTCGCTGGTGGTCCCCGCTGGCGACGGGGAGGAGGGCGGCGAGGCCCCGTCGGCGTTGGAGGTTGCCGACGGCGACAGCGACGCCCTGCCCAACCTCGTCCGCGTCGTCACCCGCCCGCACTGCCGAGAGGCACACGAGTACACGGCCACTCAGCGCGCGCAGCAGGTCCGCATCATTAGCTACCTCTGCGAGCCTCTCCTCCGCTCGTTTGCTGGTGGCGCGGATGCGGGCGGCAGCAGCAGCAGTGGCGGCGCTCAGCGCCGCGTTGCCCGCCACATCTCGTTTGCCGATTCCAACTTTCTCGGCGACCACAGCGGCGGCGGCGTGGCCACGCTGCCGGGTCTCATCGCGCGGTCCTCGCACCGCGTCGCGCAGAGCAAGGCCCGGCTTTTCGACTTTGAGACGTGGGCCGTCGCCTCCGCCCGCGTGCCTCATCTATGCCACACGTTTGCCTCCGACGAATCCGAGACGCTGGTGCCGATGCAGGCCCACTCGTGCAACCTGGCGACGACGGTCTTCACCGTCTCGCTGGTCGACGAGGTCGCAGCGTGGGCGAGCCTCGTGGCCGGGCCGATCGATGCGGTGCCCAATCTCGATATCGCTTTTGAGCAGTGCATCGTGCAGGTCCTCGAGATCATCGCGCCCGACATCGCGTCCGTTCTCATCGCACAGCGAGGCTCGTTCTCGGAGTCGAGCTGGAGGAAGTCGCTTGCGCTCCTCATCAGACTGAAGCTGTGCGATGAGAACGGACACGTCCTCGACACCGTCACGCTCGAGACGCTCGCGGCGATCCCCTCGCTCAAGGGGCTCGGCTCCTCCGGCTTCAGCCGCATCGCCTGCCAGAACGGCGGCCGCAACTCGCTCGGGCGCGTGGCGACGGCGGCGGAGGTCGCGCGATTCCTCCAGCGCGGCGGCGTGCTCGCGGTGCTCGAGGCCCTCGACCACGTGCCCACGCGCGGCGACATCGCCCGTCGCACCCGCGCCCTCCTGATTGCACAGATTGCCGACGTTGTCGCGTTCAATCTCAAAGCCACCACGCACAACACCAGCGAGCCGCCGCCGAGGACGAAGGTGGCGCTGCTCCCAGAGAATGGCTCGGTCAAGGTCTCATCGCTCGGTGCGGCGCGCGGCGCGTTCAACCTGGCCACCGCTGCTCCGGTCTCGCCCGCCGCCGTCGTCGCCCACAACCTCCTCCGCTCCAAGCACAACGGGACGGCGGCGGAGGCGGACCAGCTCGCCCTCCTCGACACGATCCGCTCGTGGTCGATCAAAGAGCTCGCCGCGGCGAAGCGCCAGCTCACCCTCGCACGGCAAAGTGTCGCCTCGGGCCGCGACGAGCTCTTCACCCTCCTTGAGCAGCTCCTCTCACAGCGGAACGCGTCTGGCCAGCTGGTCTTCAGAGACCGCAACGGCGGGCCGAGCTTCCAGAGGATCGCAACGCACCCACAGATCTCGCCATTCGCGATGAGTGCGAACGCCTTGCAGAAAGCATGCGCAACCTGCAAAATACTGGCAGTCCTCGTCGACCGGTACTGTCAGACCTCTCAGGCTGCCCAGGCCGAGAAGGTCCGCTCGGTCGCGCTGCTCTGCAAGGAGATCCAGCCACGCAGCACGACCATGAAACGGCAGGACTGGGAGCGCATGTGCGAACTGGTCGCTGGCCGCAAGGTCCACTGCCTGGCCGACCTGAGCTGGGAGCAGCTGAAGACGGTGCGCGCCGATGGGATCAAAAAGGCAACCAAGTCGTCCGGCTCCGGCTCCCACGTCCTCATCCTCGCCGAGAACTTCTCGGTGGCGGACGGCCGGCCCGCATCCGCCCCTCTCGGGGCTGGACCCGTCAAATTATGCAGCTCCTCGATCCGCCTCGACGGCTCGCGCGGCATCCTCGTTGCGGCAGAGGGCGACCACGTCTACGTGGACGGCGTGCACCTGCCGCGGGGGGCGGAGGCGCCGCTCCTGCCTGGCGCCCGGGTCGAGGTGAAGCCGCCCTCTCCGCCATCGCCGCAGCCCGCCGCCTCCGTCCCCTCCAACCCCGTCGCCTCCTCCACCGTCACCACCGACGCCGTCGCCGCCGAGCCCGTTGCCGCCGAGCCCGTCGCCGCCGAGCCCGCCGCCGCCGAGCCCGCCGCCGCCGAGCCCGCCGCCCCCGAGCCCGCCGCCGTTGAGCCTGCCGCCCCCGAGCCCGCCGCCGTCACCGTCTCGCCGCAACAGCTTTGGCGCCACCGCCCGAACCAAGCCAATCTTCTGGCCACCGCTGCCGCCACGCGCTCTCTCGAGGAGCTGCAGCGCGGCGACCGCGCCGCGGCGCAGCGGAGCGCGCTCGAGGCACTGAGCCACGATGCCACGAGCCCGGCAGCTCTCGGCGCGGCGCGGAAGTCGGGGCTCGTCCGGCAGCCGCAGCGCCTCGCCCTCGTGCGTGAGAGCCAGAGCGATGATGCTCCGCGGGTTATCCTGCTTCCCGCCAACGGCGGCCAGATCACCGTTGGCCGGTCGCCGCACGCCGACGCGGTGCTCAACGCGCATATCTCGCTGTCGTATCCGTGCTTGATCAGCGGGTGCCACGCCAGGCTGCGCGCCGTGGGGGGAGAAGCGGAGATTTCGGACGGCGGCTTCGGTGCCGGCAAACCCTCGCTCAACGGCACCGCCGTCGACGGCGTGCTCGTGCCGCGCGCGCCTCTCGTCGGCCCCGAGCCGTCGCCGACCGCGATCCAGTTGGGCGCCATCGTCGAGTTTGGCGCGCCCCACCTCATCTCGAAGCGGTGGTGCGACGCCCCGAACCGGTATGTCTACCGACTGGCGGCGTTGCCGCCGCCGC